ATATCACGTTAATCTGTCCCCTAAAACAGCCACCAGGCGGATCATTTATTTATTTATTCTGCTTTTTAATTAAATAGAGACAGGAAGAAAAGACAGAAAAGGCCTCTGGATATTGCTGGTCTACTGCATGAACTTGACAAATTGATCCACTAGAACATTGCTAAAATAATGTAATTAGATGGTTGGTTCAGATTCAATATGTCTCCTCTATCCTCCTGACAAAATGTAAATAAAACCTTATATATGTCTTTATTTTCGGTAAGTTTTATTCTATCCCCATTTCATCATTATTGGAATTTCTCTTGCAATAGGCAAATCTTTTTCCTCTTAAAAAATAGGTCAGTGGAAAAGAGTTTGGTAAGCTGCCGATGTTGTGCAGCTGTGTATTGGAAATCTGGGCAAGATAGGTCTTGTTCCGCTGGCGTCTGCAGCCTTCGTTATAACAAGAACCAGATGCTCATGAATCACGCCATTGTGGCTGCCTCGGCCGGTTAAGCACTTGCATTAAAACCTCCTCTTACGCGGAACACATGCACGCACGCATAGACACACACACACACACACACACACACACACACACTTTCCCCACCTCCTTATCATCATTCCCTTCTGCGGTTTGTTCACTCTCGCTTCCTCCGTGGGCTCATCTACCTCATTCACCCTCTCATTCTCTTTCTGCCAGGTTCCTGTTCAGGTCGGTCAATTTCAGAAGCAAACCCGACGGCCCTACGCTGGTAGCCACCTACTGGCCAGACCTACCCGCCAAGATAGATGCTGCCTATGAAAACCCATTGGAGGAAACATCTGTCTTCTTCGCAGGTATGCTGGAGAAAACCAAACACTGTGGAGAAACAGCTGATTTTTAAAAATTTGAATATGATATTGCATGAACTGGTGCCCCTGGTCACATCCTCCCTGCTGTCCCTCTACGAAAGTCTACGGTGATCGGAGAAACACACAGTTCCACTTCCATGAGTAATAGAGAGGTGTCCTCATTGTTTTACCATTTGGATTCACTGAAGAGTGGCGTTTTCCTCGAACTGAAACATTAGAAAAAGCAGGAATGTTGGCCGGGCGCTCTTGTGTGCGGTCTGCACTCTTGGGACATTTCAGATACTCCATCATAGTTATTAGTGGTTTAGTATACATTCTTTTGCATTTTACTAATATGACAACCTTCTCGAATACTGATGCAAGTTAGATGAATGTGATTAAAAGGAGGACTGTTTTGTTGACATGGGCCACACTTACTGAACAGTTCACTGATTACCTTATTCTGTCCATATAATGTATTGGTAAATAGATATGTAGGGATATGGAATGATACCCGATTAGATAGTTCTGTTTAAATACTCCAACCATCAATGAAACACAGGACGTTAGTGTCATTTCATCCATAGTTACCCTTTTTATACATGCTAACTCTTCCCGTCCAGGCAACGAGCTGTGGGTCTACAAAGCAGATGTGTTGGAGAAAGGCTACCCCAAGAGGCTGTCCAGCCTGGAACTCCCCTCTGACGTGCAGCAAATCGACGCAGCCTTCAACTTTAGGAAGAACAGGAAGACCTACTTCTTTGCTGGCGACAAATTCTGGAGGTGAAGGGGAGCGAAGCTCACGCTAACCACTTGTGAACATAAGTCTGACACGCCTTAGTTTGTGCTGTTGTTGTCAACGCGCCTTGTAGCGATGCCAGGCCAAGTCTGGATGTAGTTAGTGTTTGGTGTGACCTAAACTGCACTCAGCTCTGTTAGCCTTTGCACTGTTTTATAGAAAACTATGAGTGGTTTGGATTTCTGAAAGGATTATAGTTTCAATGCCCTTTTATTGTGTGTTTAGATACGATGAAGATAAGAAGAAAATGGACCCTGGCTTCCCCAAACTCATTGCGGATTCCTGGAATGGCATCCCAGACGGCATAGACGCTTCCTTCAGTCTCAATGGCATTGGTACATATTTTTTTTCTTCACATAAATTGTTAACTAAGAGGCTGCTTAAATGCTGATATGTAGAAGGTAACAACCTTTGTCACCATCTAAGTTTAGCATGTTTACCATTAATCATTTACAATTTCAGATCATTTGAATAAATGTAAAAGGATGGTAAAAATCCATGTTTTAGGTTAATGCAGTTCATCCTGAGCAGGACATAAATAAGTGTTAACTGCAAATGGAAACCTCATGGGGACACTCGATTAAAAGACAGAGGATATCTTTAATTAGTAGGATTCATCCCAAAAGCCCAGCCAATGTTTGTGCTGATTTTTATGGAAACCCATCCTACAGTCAATGAGACATTTCAATAAAAAAATGAAATAACCACCCTGAAGTTAGGGTGTCATCCGTGGCCTGATGTTGATATAAAACAGTCAGAGGAGGAGCAATGCTTTGTGTCTCTCATGCTTTCATTGGCTGTGAGTAAACACCCCATGTGAGTTAGGCCTACTTTGGTCAGAGCAACTAAGGTGAAAGAACTCTATGGTGATGATGATGTTTTTTCATGACACTATCATGAGACTGTGATTGTCACCTGTGTGTCCTTCAGGATTAAGTTTAAGCAGATTTTTGTTTATGGCAAATTGCCTGGGATTTTTCCACTAACATAAACGTGTTACTGTAAGCATCACGTCGCCCCTTCCCCACACAGTGGACAAACACGTTTATATAAAGAAAGTCTGTGCCCCTCTACAGAGGTGCCTGTATGCTTCCTGATTAGCATCATTGCGAGCGAAATAATCTTAACATTGGCTTTAGAAGAGCCTGATTTGATGATGTTCCAATACTCGTTACTTTGATTGATTTTTCTTTGATTCAATTTTGATTAGTTTACTGTTAATCAGTGGAGGTTTTCCCTTATTTATTTTTGAGTATTATACAAGCAATATAAAAAGGAAATGATAACTTCAGTAATTAACTAAGTGTGCATTTTGGCCATCTCTAACAGATTACAGCTACTTCTTCAAAGACAACCACTACTTCAAACTGGAAGACAGCAGCTTGAAGATCGTCAAGTTGGGTGAAATCAGAAAGGACTGGCTCGGCTGTTGAGCTTCTTCCGAAACGTCTCGCAACTAGCCAATTCCCGTATTGATATCTGACCTCACGAGGACGTTGCCGTAGTACCGCGCACAACCCGAGGTTGCCGCAGTGCACAATGTTGTAAGCTTTTATCCTGTCAAGTCCGCGCGCTTCTGTGGGAGACACGTCCCTTCCAGACTGTATAACCGGCCTCCAGCTTTGTAGCGAGGCATCTTGGGACTTCCTTCCCAGGCTGAACATAGGCAACTGGATATTTTTGCTATATTACCATGGGATGCTGACATTTCATTTGTTGTGTTGAGGCAAAATTATTTCAACACGTGCGCCCCGGTTTATTGTTTTTAACTCAGACATCAGGTATGTCAACACTGCATTGAACGCAGTGTGATATTGCCATTTTATGCAAATTGAATTCTGCAAGGCTGTTTTACACCATGTGAAGTATTCATGTTGGCTTGGAATTACTTCTATGTCCAGTGTATGAGTGCAGTTTTATAAATGTATCACTTTTCATTTTCATTGTTGTGCAATACATTTGACAATATCAATTTGCACGATGTGTTTGACCGAAAATGGTGCTTTAGAGATCCTTTCAGCTTATAGTCCTATCTTCATACAGTATAGTGTATATATACACACACACATTTTATATTCCATGTATCTATGTCTGACTACTTAGTATTTTCTGAATGTTACAATGTAGCTTTGGCAGGAACACACTATTCTTCAATTGATTAGCACTTTGTATATGATACATAAGGGGACTGCTTAATATGGAGACCAAATTATTGTCATGGGTGTTGCATTCTCTTCACTAATGTTACGGTGGGATTAAAGGCACAGGTTGCCTCCAGAGGCTTTATTGATTTGTTGCATGATGGAGTCATGTCAAGAGTACCGCAGTAGTATTTTTTTTATTTTTTATATGTGTATTCTTTTTTTCTTTCTTGGGTTTTAACAATACAGTCATTGTGTTTGTGTTGTTTTTAATGCTTGTGCACTTTGTTTTACTGTCATCAATAAAGATGGTCAATATAATGTGGATCAGTGATGAACAAAGGAATTGAAGGGGATGATTGATGCCATTATGGGCCTTCAGCATTAAGCGCGTGAACTCAAACAAATCTCCAAATAATTCAGATAAAGTGTAAAACACATCACTCCAATGCACAGATAAAATAACCCTGATGCTAAACACATTTTAAATTGTACTACTTTTACTCTAAACACTGCATGATATTTAAAAGTATCATTATGATATAAAGTGTTATTATATGGGAAATGTAAAGTGACTAGAATTTCTGTAACATATGTGGGATAAAATGTAACGCTATTATTTGGTCAAATATAGTGGAGTACCAATATGAAATAGTAGTATGAAGAAAAAGGTACTTGATAAGGTACTTTAAATGGCCCTTAATATTGAGCAGGGCTACTTATGTTAATAACCTACTTACCAATGACCAGTAGTATCGATATAAACAGAAATACTTTATTTTAAGTCAGCGGCAATCGACAATTATTTATTAAATTGCGCCATCTCATGGACAAGCATGGAAGCTTGTAAACAAATATATGAATACGGCACATTTCTCCCTTGGCTTCGTTGCTTATACCCATTTTGTGCAATACATCGTGTCGTTAAACACATGTGCAAAAAATAACACACTGGTTTCTTACTCTAGTATGTGCACAAAGCACAAAACGTGCGCACGCACCGACAGCGCCCCTCTGGCGTCTGTGCTTTCATACACATTACATTATTGGTTTGAAATAGTTTACAGGAACGATATCATCCTGCAAGCGCTTATTACGGAGGATCGCATATTGTAGAATGGGTCTATGAAATATGAGAAATAAACAAAAGCACCTCACACACGCACACGCGCACACACACTGCGGAGGACTCTGACCCGCCGCTGCGGCCGCGTTGGGGGCGGAGCCTAGACGCGCTCCCGTTGTTCCGCACTCGGTGCACACACTGTGGTTTGCGGTGGCGCCGTGTGACGCTCGTCCGGTGCAGGTGGTGGAAGTGTCCCGCCGCTGACGGAGCGCGATGATAACATAACGCCGCCTCGACCTCCGACCGATCGTTCCCGCGTCTCTCCGCCCGCTCCTCCCGCTCCTCCCGCGCCGCGATGCCGCCGCCGCCGCAGCGCGTGTTCGCTCTGCCGAGGCAGCAATCTCTGCTGCTGCCCGCGGTCATCAACCCCTTCATCCAAGACACTCACCTGACCAAAGCGGCCATAATAAAAGTGAGTATGTCGTTCCTGGTCTACGGACTAAGGAAGTACAGGGAATTGTTTTTGTACAGTAGTGTCAACGGGATTGCTGAAGTGGCTCACGCTCACACATGCACACACATCTAATGGGTGAGATTATACACACACGCACACACACACACGGAAACTGCAGCGCCAACCAGGGCCTATAATCTTCTCCAACAAGGCTTTGCCAATCTGCTTGTGAAGCACTAACAATGAGAGCCGTTGTGTGTAGAAATGCAGTCCAGTGATGAGGATTTCCAGACTCGTGCATATTTAGTTTTTAAAAAAGGTCAACAGCCTGCCTGCAAAGAACCCTGGCAGCAGTCTTCAGTCTACCCTTAAATGGTATCTGCAATGTACGATGCTTGTGTGTGTGTCCGTCTCCATGCAGTGTGTCCTCTTGGGTATCATCCTGGTCCCCATCCGCGCTGTCCTCATGTCCCTGGTTCTGATGGTGACATGGCCTGTGGCCGTCCTAATAACCCTCAACCATCCTCTGAAAGGAGCAGTGGAGCCAATGACAGGCTGGAGAAGGTAATTAGGGTGCAAACAAGCATCTGGCTGCAGCACGGAGCGAACACACACACACACACACACACATCGGATCCTTCGGGCTGACAAGATATTTCATGACTCACTTTTGCACAACTACCTTTTTTTTACCACTTTTGTTTATCTACTTGCATGCATACATAAATAATATTAAATACGTTTTTTTCCACCTATTTGAATGACAGGCGATAGTGAAACACACTCACTTCTTTCTACCAGTGCAGCGGCGTGAAAATGTTTTGTGTATGAAACACGCGTTTACATCCTCCAGTTTGGAGGCATTTTCTCATTCAATTCAGTGTGTCCAAACCTTTGACTGGTACAGTATGAACTGCACTAAAACAATACAGTATACTGAAGCAAGAAGAAACATCAGAAGCAATGCCTTTGCCTGGTTTATAAACCGGACAGGAAGAAACACAGAGACAATGGTATATTCTCAAAACAATAGTTCCTGACGTGGCTTTATTATGTGCAGCAGCTTGAATTACTACCAAATCATGTTTGTCTCTAGATCATATCTGCACCTCGAGCCTTACGCTCAGTTCTCAGAAAGAAAGAGAGTCAGTGGCATCGGCAGGCTTAATAAAAACAACTGAGCAAGTGATCTATTCATAGATAATAACCAATATCTCATGTGTGTATGTACACAGAATGAATACAGCATTTACGGTACTCATGTCCCGGTTCAATATTTCTAGCAGTGGTTGAATTGTTGTATTTTTTGTTGTTTTACAAAGCTGCTACATACACACACACACACACACACACACACACACACACACACACACACACACCGTGAGCAGTGCTAGTTAACAGAAAAATTGTGGTGACCCTAGGCCACAGCTTTTTAAACGATTAGGATCAAGTATAGTGTGGGTGCAGTAACACGCGAGAAGCTTATCTCTATCTCACCTACTTTTTTTGCCTGGCAGTGTAAAGGCTTTTATTTTCTCACGGTGGAGAAATATGTGACGCTTTAGTTTGGGTACAATGAATGGACAATAGTTTTAAATAGGCAAGTATTTTCAAGTATTTATTCAATTCAATCAATGGTATCAATGGTATTTGTGATGTTACCATTGAATCTAAAGAGGCAGCCTGTGTTTTTTTATTTTATCACTATATCTACGTGTTGTTGATGCTTTGTGTTTGCGTGGGAAGCTCTCTACGCTCAAAACGCAAAAAAGAGCAGAAAAAACAAAGCAGCAGTAAATAGTCAGAGGTGAGCACACTGTGAGTACATGTTTAAAGTCAATCATTATGATCAGGTTATTCCCCCTTTCTGGAAAATGAGGAAGTAACTGGTGGTTGTGAAATTCAAGAAGAGCTGAGTGATGTAATTCTTCCTGTTCACCGACATTTTCACGCTTGCGTCATGCGCCTGAAGGTGATGATAATGAAAAAAGAGACATTTCACCATGACAACAATAGTGAGAATGATAGTATTTTTAAATACACATAAACATTTTTCAACTCAATGTTCTGAAAACGTTGTGGTGGTTTCCAGGGTCATGTGTCGGAGAGTGCTGGCAGCTTTGGGGCGGACTTACTACTTCTGCATGGGCTTCAGAGTGGTGGTCAAGGGCAAGCAAGTGGACAGCACCGTGGCCCCCATCCTGGCTGTGGCCCCGCACTCCACCTTTTTCGATGGGATCGTGTGCCTCGTGGCAGGCCTTCCCTCCACCGTCTCGCGTGTCGAGAACCTTGCTACACCCATCTTTGGCAGTGAGATACTTTGGGTTTGCTTTGCTGTGTCATCACCACAGGAAAGGCAGCATGTGTTTGTGGGGGCTTTCTGGTTCTCTCAATTTCCATTGTGTGTGTGTGTGTGTGTGTGTGTGCGCGCTTTTGACAGTACACCAAAGTGTGAACATTTTTATGCACATTGATCTTAAATAGAGGAAGCTTAGTCCTATAAACGTCCATATTTGAGCATAACTAAGTAACTTTGAAATAAGGGTATACTGTGGAATCCATTTTTTTTTTGTTGCAATTGTGACACCACAAAGCTTGTGATACTGTCATATAATAGTGTTATCATCAGTGAGTTAATATCAACCTAATTGACTCTCCGTAACTCAATTAAAAGAAAGACGTGCAATCAACCCGAGGCTTGCCGATTAAAGTGAAAGTAAACAATATGAAAAATCATTGTTTTGGAGTCTGCATTAGTGTTTGTGTGTTGGTCCGTTCGGTAGGGTTTGTGCGCTGTCTTCAGCCTGTGCTGGTGTCCAGAAAGGACCCCGACTCCAGGAAGAACACAATCCAGGAGATTGAAAGCAGAGCCAAGTCCAAAGGCCGGTGGCCACAGGTCTGTCCCAACACATACAAACGAACCATCCCAAACTAAAGTTCATCCCAATAAACCCTGTAAATGGAGAGAAGATCCAAAAGGCTTTGCTTTGTCAGTAACATACAATGTTGACTAAAAAACAAGAACCATTATTTCAAAGCAAACTCCACCTGTTGCTAGGGGCAACCGCAAACTGGGGCATAAATGATGAGTGCTGTAATTTTAACGTTTTGTCACGATTTTGTTTCCTAAGGTTTTGATTTTTCCAGAGGGAACATGTACAAATCGCTCATGTCTCATCACTTTCAAACAAGGTAAGAAATTAAATAATAATTGAATGCAATTCACGGTAAATGTAAATGTGCAACAAGGAGTTGTTGACGTGCTTAAGAAGAACAAAAGTTAGGAATATGTCCCCTTTAACTCAAATATACTGAGCAGAATGGTTAAACAATGGCAATCAGGATCCAACACCTGCTCCATTCGTTCATTCAATGATGTTGTTTGCAGCGATGAACCAATGAGAAGTCTCCATGATGTCTTTCACAATGTTTCCCACCTCCAGGTGCTTTTGTCCCCGGGGTCCCTGTGCAGCCTGTGATTATGAGATATCCCAACAAACTGGTGAGCGATTGCAATTGTAATACAGCAATAATATATTTATCTTCACATATTGAGAGCCCAATTCATAAAGGGGCCACGCTGCACTAGTTTGCACCGACAATAGTCAAAGCAAATGCAAATGCGTCCTGTCGGGTTACTTTACGCGCAGTGTATGACGGCATTGATGATTCACACGAGCAGAAGTACGTGGGTTTATCAGTTCGAGGAATCTGCACACTTTTATGATCTTGGCCAACTGAAAAGCCCTCATGAGCCGAGCTTACACAGGTTTCTGTGTCACACAGCCAGGTGTATACCACTGTATGTCAGAGTTAATGTTTCATGGAGCTTTTTGCATGTCTTCCAGGATACAGTGACTTGGACTTGGCAGGGTTTCGGCTCGTAAGTATGCTTCCTACACACTCCTGTGTTTCACTCGCGGTATGCACGTTTAATGGAGGGGGTCTACTGCTGCCTGAACTGCAACGACTATTGGTACAGTGGAATCAATATATGTGTCTTGCTCTTGTTTTATGTGCAGGAAGATGCTGCTGCTTCTGACTCTGAGCCAGCTGTACACCACAGTGGAGATAGAGGTAACAGGCATTTTGTATAATGTGATGTAATGTCATTTTATTAAAAGAGCGGTTACACTGTTTTTTATTCTTTGCATGTGAAAATATAATTCAAAAAGCAAAAAAAGGTGGAGCTCTATGAAATTTGACACACGTTTTCACTTGATTTGGGCCCCGTGACCTCACGTCGGTTCCATTCTTGTGAATGTAATATCTCAGGGACTCCTGAAGGGAATCTCATTAGATTTCACACAAACATCTAATTGAACTCTACGGGTGACCCGATTATAACAATGATACAAAAAACTGAGTTTGGGCAATAACTCAATTATTCATTATTATGTTAAGTGTCTAATACAATAAAGTGATGACATTGTGGAAGGACGTGCACGCTGCATCTCCACTGGGTGGTGGAGGCATTTGATCGCTGGCCGTTCATTTTGGTTGCATTATGTTTGATTATATGTTATTCATGATATTTTCTCCAAGGTACAACCTGTCAGATTTTCAAGTAGATTCAAAGATTTTTATTGTCAGTTACACACGCCCTGTGTATTGATATTCTTGTGCTTGCCCTTTCTGGAAAGCTGACCAATTTTAAAATAAAAATAAAAATACAATATTTACATAAATGTCCATTAAATGAAAATAAAAACGAGGTAAGGATGAGGTAGAAATGAGGTAAGGAGGAAAAGTGCAAAACTGAGCAGGTTGTAAAAGAAAAACTTAAATTAAATAAAATGTGTGCAATATAAATTAACAGTACAGTAACACTAAGTAGTACCAGTTGCATTTAAAACTAAAGAGAGCAAAGTGTGTAGCCTTCGATATCTTAAATGATGTTCAATATGAAATATGAAAGCATTCTCCAAGGTTCTATATCAAAGCATGACGTGCATTCCTGCATTTGGGAATTTGGTTTCCATGCCAGGCTCTTGGAGTTTACTTCTTGCTCAACCGTCTGCGTGACCTTTTTTGTCTGTTTTTTCTATTTTTACAGTTCTTGCCAACGCAGATCCCCACAGAGGAGGAGAAGAAGAGCCCTCCCCTGTTTGCTAGCAGAGTGCGACAAACTATGGCCCAGTAAGTGTTAGTTGGCCTGCAACGCAAACTCCCCGGTGTATTGCTCGAGCACACAGTGCTACAAAACCCAATAGAAGCGTAAAATTGACATGCGTATACGGATAATGTTTAATACATGTGCAGTACATGTATGAGAAAATGAAATTATTGGTTAGTGTTGGAGGGTCCGCAGTTTAATATAATAGCCATGCTTTATATTTAACCAATAATTCTGATTCCTTTCTGACTTGACGACTACCGTAGTGTACAAGTACGAGTTTAGTTATTGCTTCCCCTTGATCTGTCCGACTGTCGCGTGTCTTCCTGACCGGTGGCATCCAGCACCATAAGAGCATCGCAGCCGTTGGAGCTGATCCCTGTGCGTGCCCGCTTTCAGAACCTTGGCAGTGCCCGTGACGGACCACACGTACGAAGACTGCCGCCTGATGATCTCGGCTGGTGAGCTGACGCTGCCCATGGAGGCCGGCCTGGTTGAGTTCACCAAGATAAGCCGTAAACTCAAGTAAGACCATCTCACTTAAGTGCGCTGCAGGCATCGCCTGTCATAGAGATAACTCTAAGAGCAATGATGAAAAACGGCAATGCATGACAGAGTGTGACGTGCAGCACAACCTCCTCACTGTGCATGGCTTCCTCAGTCTGAAGTGGGACAATGTGAAAAAGGACCTGGAGGGCTTCGCAGCAATTGCCGGCTCTTGCAAAGGGGGACGGATCACCATCGAGGAGTTTGCCAAATTCCTGAAGTTGCCTGTCAACCCAGCCCTCGAGGAGCTCTTTGCATTGTTTGACAGGGTGAGAGACATATACAGTATTTTGGTTAGCTGTTAAAAAAATGGGAGCTATTGGTAGTTGTTCCCAAAACAATAACAGTTTGCAAAAGCATCTAGGCTTTGCATTCTGCTTTGTTATAAGTAGCAGCCCATCCCGGGCAGTGTGAGTGTGGACTAAGCAGGAAGTCAATGGCAATTTTAAACAGGTAATAAAGGGTATTTTGAGGAAGTGTGAGTCACGCAAGGTCCATAGCTGGCAGTCACGGACGCAGGGGCTGACTTAGTCACTCACAACATGGCCGCAGGTTTACGCCGCGCTGAGATGATTAATACGGACAGCGTTGACATCAAAGTGTGCCACAATCTTAGTGTTCAAACTACAGAATTGCACACATATTCCATCATGACATAGTATGTGTACCAAAGCGACATTCGGAGGACGCCATGATGAGTGTAATGCATAAAATGCACCTTTTTCAGTATTGTTCCTCAGTAATACCATGACTCATTGTTTTCCGGTAACAGAATAGCTATTTATAGATATCCCTTATGCTACATATATTACCCCATCCTCCTTTTTACTGAACAGACCGTAAAGTATTTAGTGCTAATCCATGCATCATAATAATCTGTACATTTACCGACTCAAATATTTGTACGGCTGTCTCTTTTATTCCTGTGCAGAACGGAGACGGCACCATAGACTTCAGAGAGTACGTTATCGGCGTGACCATTTTGTGTCGACCAGCCAACACAGAAGATGTGCTTCGGATGGCTTTCCAGGTACTTGGATTCCTATCCAGACATTGTTTCTGCTTGGGTCTGATGAATATACACTGTTGTACACTAAATACAAATATATACACAAATGATCGCCACTGTTTCACAACAAAAATGTTCCTGCAGATATATACAAAGATTAGATTCCACGACTCTCCTTGCTCTAACTGACCTGACGAATGACGTGTGTATACTATATGTAAAGTACATGAAATCTTTACTTTTTTAGACTATTATTAATATATATGTATATATTAAGATAACTATAAACAGTGAATCCAAGCTGAAGCAGCCTTTGTTTGACATCGGACTGCAGCATGCAGCACCGTAGGAAGAACAGAAGCAGCTTGCAGAGAGGCTTGGGTAATGTCAACTTAACTATGTCTGTCGTCCGTGGAGAGCATGGAGACATTTCTCCGCCCGTACGGTTAAATGTGGTTTCGGACCAGCAGTGCATTGTGAAGTGAAAAGTTATTTCCTTCTGACTAACTTCGGATTTAGCCATTTTCTTACTTACCCACCAAACAAAAATGTATTTTTTTTCCTGAAAATGCACCAATTTGAAAATGAAATATTATATTCTCTTTCTTTCCCCTCTCGTGCAGCTGTTCGATATTGATAAGGATGAGAAAATCACCCGGGAGGAGTTCAGTGCTCTGCTGCGCTCAGCTCTGGGTGTTTCCAACGTTAACATGGCCAAACTCTTCAAGGAGATTGATGCTGACCACTCTGGTTTCATCACCTTTAGTGAGTAGACTCCCACGCTACATTTTATTCTCCTGACCTCCTTTAGCTTCTCTAGTACACTCCAAGTACTATGAATATAATCTGTATTTACCAGTAGAATTGTTTGTGCTTTCCTCATCTTGATGTTTTTCTCCGTGCTCGTGTTTCTTCAGCTGAATTTCACAACTTCGCCATGGTCCACCCGGAGTACGCCAAGCTCTTCTCCACCTACCTGGAGCTCCAGAGATACCAAGCCATCCAGGAGGCGACGCCAGGTGATCTGGAATTAACCGGTTCAGCGGAAAAACAGGAAGAGAGCACATCTGACAAAAAAGACGACTGAGCGTGAGACCGAGGATGACTGTGAACTGTCCTCGACTCCCCGACGCTAGAACGGAAAAAGCAAACGCGTGTCCTGCCTTCTGACTTTAAACACATTCAAGTCGTTTCCCACAACAGGTCAACATTGTAGGTCATGTGCTTGCCTTTTTATAAATAGTTTATTAATAGTACTTCTTTTTTAAAAGTCGGTGCCTTATCGAGATCTCAAAGAACCACCTCCCGCACAATAAAGTTTTGTGTGTAGGTGTGTTTTGGTTATGTGTTATTTGTAAAAAAAAGAAAATATGGCAGAAAAGTCACACGGGACTCCGTTTTAAAAGGTGTTGAATTAAAAATTCAGAGCATTAACATCAACAAGTTAGTGTCAGCTTTTTTTTAATATACTTAAACTGCCTCGCCATACTTTTGACTTTTGACCACATTCTATGTATCTGCAGCTTTCCTTTGCTTGGACTTGGATAAACGTACATGTGGCGTTGTGTACCTTCTTCTTGGTCCCGTGTAAATGAGTAGAGAACAATTGCCGAACCAACACCTTTTTAAATACAACCAAAAGGCCCACGTGCTTCTGTGTTGCAGTATAATTAGTGTACTGTGAGCTTCGTTAAGATCTCTCCAATTGGGCAAACGCACTGATGTTCTCTAGTAAATCCATGTCTACAAGGAGCATACGTGCTGTGCATTACACTTATTTTCAGCGCCCGGGGGCCACGGACCTTGTAAGACGGCTGTATAATTAGCCAGAGGTTTGTTTTGCGTCTGTATCTATTTGCATTTCTACCGAAGGCGGTTGTTGCTGAGACAGCAGCACGTCTGTGCAGCTTTAAGTTCACTAAAGCAAATCAACCGCTGAATTTAGGGCAATTTGTGAGCAAAAAGGCAACAGCGCTTCTTCACAACATCGCATCCCAGAGGGGTACGCTTTCAGAATAACTAGCGCCACGCGCATTGCAATTATGTGAATTCTTTTTTCTTTTTTGTTAACACTGCAAAGTTTGCTTTTTAAAATAAAACAAGGAGTACAATTTTAATCTTGCCGGATTTTTTGTGTTCATCACTGAGAGAGAACTAATGACTTGGGCTGTAGATTTTGATTTTCATGGAGCAGAGATGCCTTGGAAATATCTGGTTCACTACATCACCACCAGGGGCCAGTACTTACCTACGAATACTTCCTCCATGTGTTTGTTTTTTGTTTCTTGTACTAAAGTATTAGTTTGAAATTCGGCCAGTATAGAAAACAATGATGTTTAAGTTACACTCTGATTTACGGAACGTGTATTGGTATGAGTAGGATATTGCGTAAGTGTGCAAATGTTGCAATTAATCCTGAGGCACTGAAAATGAGTTTTGTCATCATTTAAAATTAATATCAGCAAAAAAAGTGAGTTAATCTTTGATCTTGAACATAAACATTTCAATAAATATCTTAATTGGTTCGATGAGTAATTTCTTAATTGTTACTACAATGTGATATAATTGCTCAATTTATTTTGTCATGCATTTCTTCTTTTGTCTTATTTATGACCCTCTAAATTTCATTTCAAATACGGAATTATGGACATGTGCAGTATTTGTGTTAATTAACCTTAAAGAAACGGTACAATACCAGTGTGGGTCAATTGGAGATGCAAGTCCCTGCATTAAGTTAGTTATTGTTTAAACACGCGTGTGGTTGTTTCTTTCTTGTTTTGTAACTGAGCCAGAACAACGTATTTTATTTTGATGTTAATTAGAGAAGTTGGTCCAATTTGTAACATTGTAATAGATGTTATATTATAAAATATAAAATCTGTCCATCTATTTTGCAGTATTTATTGATTAACGTCTACCTTTGAAACCAATTTGAATTTATATATAGAAACTTTTTTTCCAACATTATATGCTGTTCTGTCCCAACGATTCTGAAGTGTCGATTAGTGTCAGAAGGGTGGAGCTTGAAGACAGAATATATACGATCCTTGTTTGGTGCCAAAACCGTTCCAGGTGGCATGTTGAGCTTTGTAAATGTATATTAACACCTCATAAATAACTGCACATGATTATGCAATTAAGTGGGGAAACCATCTGAAACAGGTGCTATGTTATTTAACATCGCTTCAAGTGCTTTCTCTCATTCATTGAGCTTAATGGGTGCATCTAGGACGTCTCTGTCGTCTTCAGGAGGTCTAAGTAAAAGTTCAAAATGTTTGTAAGATACTCTACCAATTTGTCAATGTGTTCAAAGTAGTTATGTTTTAATGGTGTAATGTTCCCTTGCGAGTTATTTTATAAAGATGACATGATATTTATTTACAGCTTAGTGTGCCACTCAGTTCTTCGCTTTTTTCCCAACTTCTGCTCATTTGCTGGACTATTTTTCCTCTCATAGGACTTTGTCTTTTCCCAGAGTTGTGTAAGGGACGTGTTTGGGGAATCATTTAGTTTTAGGGTGTCCAGTCTCTTGTTATATATCAATAGTTGTATATCAATAGTTGTATGTATCAAAGTCATAATCTACTAGTGACGATGGTTTAAGGCTGGTTTTATTAAAAAAAGCTTACTGGAACGATAGTGGTAATGGGTTGGATTTTTACGGCTTGTGTTGTTGATACAATCGAGTTGCCAGTGCGGAAGTAATCGCCGAATGTCAATCATATATAATAACTGGTTCAGATGATTTCCCTGGTCTGGGAAATTGATTGATGTTTATTGCAATTTCAGATAAATGTCCTCGTCCAGTATATCAATGTAATTGATTAAAATAGATAAGAGATACGTGTAGATAAAATCTAAATAAGTAAAGAGAAAATAAACTATTTCATTGGATGAAATGAGTGATCCATTTGCTTGTTGGTCAAGCTTTACTTTTTTTTCGGGACGTTACGTTGAGAACATGACTCCATTTTGGCACAACTGCACATTCCAGCTCAACTGCTGTCAAGGGAGTAGTTCATCAAGGGGCCATGATGCTAATGCAATCCCAACGCATGCTGTTCTAAATACAATGAACATGAGTGTGCTTACAGACACACGCACACACACACACGCAGACAAGAAAAAAACCTGCAGTCTCGCTCGGTGCACAGAGGAGACTGAAATGAATGATGGAGTGCTGGTCGCTTCATTAAAGGCCTGCTGTTAGACAAACTGTGATTACCAGCTATGATTTCCAACTTCAATTAGTTTTAACCTTTTCGAACGTACGGAGGCTCATTTCATTTTAATCCAAATTGATGAGACGGCATGGAATCAATTAAGTGACATTGTCGCCGCGCTTACAACAGCGCGACACCTTCCCCATCCGCAACTCCCGCTCTCTCCTACGCCCCCCAACGCAGCCTCCCCCTTTCCCCTGCACGACCGTTGTATATGGCTGCATCCACCTCAGCCTCGCCTGGGGGGGTGATCCTGTCGCAGCAGATTGTGAGAGATATGTGTCGGTAATGCAATTTGGTCTCCTCAGGACCAGAGTGAGTGAGCAGCCTCTGTTTGTGGACACAAGCTTGACACCGGGCCTCTTACTGATGAGGGGAGAGGAGGGGAGAGGAGGGGAGAGGGGGGACTCACTGGTCCAGGCTGGAAGGAAAGGTCAGAACAGACAGGTCTCGCAGTTTAACAGATGTGACAGTACTGCGCGTCTAAATTGAACCAGGTAGCCCGGCTTCCTCGGGCCAAATGAGCGCGAGTCTCAGTGGCTATTCCACAAGTTCACAACAAGTCAGCCATTCATTTCAATTTCTTTCATGGCATTTCCACTATTGTATAAGTTATGGCTTCCAATCGTAGCGGGGTGAATGCTGTATGTATTGTAAGAAGTCAATACGTTCACTTAAACTAATGCTCCCATCCATTGAATACATTTTTTACATCACTATGTATACAAAATATACAGGCTTATGGTGCACGTTTTAGCTGCTTAACTACGATATAGCAGACTGATTCCTTTCTAGCGTAATAGTTCAAAAGACTGTTCTTATTTAAGGAGCATTACATAAAAGGAAGATTCTTCTTATAGAACATGCCTTCCTGCTTATAACAACAGGATACCTGGGTGTGTATTCACACTCCTTTGACCCCCTCCTTTGTCCTGAATGACGAACGAGGATGTATGGCTTCAACATCACAGGGTAGAGGTTAATTGCTGGCGAGGACTACTGCATGCAATAAAATAGTAGTAGGGGAAATATCAAGTAAAGTTAAAGGTATTCTTGCCTATTCCTCAAACTGAATTTTAAAAACGAGACGTCTTTGTTTGTAACGACAGCATCGCTCCTCCAGTAGAAACATCCTATCAGTCCAGTACATACTTCTACGTATACCATCCTCTTTAATCCAGTATGCCACACTGACGGGTATTTTGGCCAACTACACTGAACTTTGGAAAGTCCAGTATATTAATTTGATTTCTCTGAAGCCGAACAATGCTTGGCAACATGAGGTACCTTTATAAAGATGGTCCCCCCCCCCCCCCACGCTCTGTCCTCTCACGCATGGCTTCCGTCCAGCTACCCAGTGCAAAGGGTTTGATGAACTCAGATGAGGGTTTGCCTCCGCAGAAGCAGCCGTGTCATGGATACCTATTTATTGGTGTGAGTCATGGGCTCGCAAACAAACACCCGGAGAACACACACATCTCTTTACTTGGACTGCTGCAGTTTTGGAGCCTAGCGAGCCGTCTCCTTTAGCTCCTCGGGGAGTTCCTCTCAGACCTCATTGTTACGTTTCCTTATCACACCATATGACACCTTGTTGACTTTCTCTCTCCTATTATTCTCTCAGGAAAGGGATTGTTCCTCATTTCCTGTGTGATGGTTTGTAGAAACAGTGAAGGTCTCGGTGAGGGCAAGGTTTGGGGAACCGTATGAAACAGCGGCCGTCCAGCGGCGGTATATCTGCGGCGCAGGTTTGTTTTCACGTTCAATGTTTGGGGTGTTTCGCGTCTCTGCGTTTGATTCTTTTCCAGGTCTTTTTTTGGACGATGGGCAACAACTTTTACCCTAAGTTTTGGGTGGATGGGTCAGAGCAAGGTTGTGGAAGAGGCAATTGTTTTGTACTTGTTAGTGAAACATGCCAAAAAAGGGGTGTAAATGTTTACAAGCTCCAAACAAACTCACCACTCTGGTAACCGTGATCAAACGTGTTTTTTTACTCGTCTCACAGTGTCCTTTTTCATTTTATTTCTAGGTGCGAAGTGACAGGAAGTGCAGTGTGTGGCCATGTGTCTTAGGCAACAATTAGATGAGAGAACATTAGAAATGTCCGTATGGAAATGTAATGTGTGTCTCTTATGGGACGTTTAAGTTCATCTGAATCTCAAGACTCGCCAGTAACTGATACACATTTTATTTTTCGGTTAACAAGCACTCTTACAGTAATAATGCTAAAACTCCTGCTGTCGAGCTTCCCTCTCTGTGCCCCCTAATTACTATCAATTCAGACTCAAGTTGTGCGTGCCCCCTATTGTGTTACTCATTGACCAGTTGCTTGGATATTAATGGGGGGGGGGACTTCGTGCTTCAAGATTCTTTGATATATAGATGAAGGAGACTGGTCATTGTGCTAAGAGTTTTGAGGACAATGGTACCACATTCTCATAGATTTGTTTGGGAGTGTATGTGTTGGCTGAAGCACAAGATGGGGCTACTTGCTGAGGAACATTCTTCAGCCTGCACCTTTTATATACACCACATTTACCAGATGTGTGCTGCTCAGAAATGTTCTGACTCAGATGGCTATTTGTTCCAACTGAATGTATACAGCATAGGGAATAAGACTTAACATTGCTTACAGCAACTTTGCAGGCGCTAGGGAAGCCCAGAGAGAGAGAAGCTTAAAGACGCTCCTCCTTTTGAGACGCCGGCAGAGATTTAAAACCAGAGAGTTTCAATGGGATGCAAAACACAAAAACAGAACTCATCGTGAATCCTGTGAGATGATTAACATGTCTATGGAAAGACAAAACAAGAAATCAAATGTATTTTCATGAAGAGCATGCATCAAATAATGGGTTTTTTCCACAGCAAGCGTTTGGACTGGTGTTACTGACACGCCGACTCTGTTGATGAATCCCAGTGGGAGTACTGGTGAGCGAGCAGGCGACACCAGGGTCCTGACATTAGAGCACCCCAATGAAATCCAGCCATCAACTGTTTAATTATTAACACCTCAGCTTTCCCAAAGCTGCCTCCAGCCAAAATGTCCTGCTGGCCCGTACTGACAGTGAAACATCCTTCGGTAAATTCTTATTTGTAGCATGGCGTTACGGCGCTTTTTATGATGCCGGTTTGACTCTGGAGGCGTAACTTAGAGACGCAAACCGCGGGGTCATTTCACTGTGGGGTCGTGGGTGAAGGTTTGCAGGGTTGTATGAGTGTGTGTGTGTGTGTGTGTGTGTGTGTGTGTGTGTGTGTGTGAACCAAAAGAACCAAGTGTAGCTCTTTGCTGTGACCCCATCCCAATGCACAGGTTAAATCCAGACAGACACCCTGGGTTGCGTCTTGTTTCGTTAGCGTCCAGTCCTCGGGTCAACATGGGAAAGCCCGGACCTTAAGAAATAGGAGAAGGTCTCCAGAACTGTAGCTCCAGCCAGAAGGCGGAACCCGGGACGATGGAGGCGAAGGATGACAGAACTTTCCCTTCAGTAGCGCTGTACGTCCTGTGAGGGGGCAGCGTGAGGTTCAATTGCTATCGTCTGTTCTCAGTTAACACCCTCACATCTATAAGTCGCCATCCATCGAACTATCGCTCATTACGTGTGCGTTGACATTTTGAGTCAGTGTTTGAATGTACAGCATCACAGTGGTTCATATTCAGAAATAGACTCCCCTTTAAACGCTGTCGTGATGACACAAAATATTTGGTCATCAGTTTCTTCAGGTAGCGGACAATACTAAACCAAGTGAAAAATGGGTAGAACTAATTCAGGGGAGAACAACAGTAATAACACATTATCCTTCCATGTTACCTGGTCCTTTGCTTCACCATCTTTGCAGTTATTCAATCTTCACAAACAAAAAGCCCAAGACCAGCCCTATTAGGGTTTTATAAAACAAGCACTGGGGAGCAAAGAGGACATTAATTGACTTTAATGGGATGAACTGATCAACCATATCTAATAAAAATCATTGCCCTTGGCTAAAGCTGCTTTAGAATTAAATTACACATGGAACACAATGCTTTCATGGCTTCTTAGAAAACTGTAATTCGATCTGTTTGGGAGAGAAAGAAAAAAACAGATCAAACAGACAAAGTCCAAATCCAAACATTCAAAAAAGTTTTTCTGCACATGAAATTCAAAAGGACAAATGTGAAGCTGAATGTAAAATGGTCTCAACAAATTTTAAAATTCAAGCGCCAACCGAAACCCAAATACATTATTTTACTTTATATTTTGCAGTTGAAAAAAAAAGTTTGTTAAGTTCAAAGCAAAGTTCATGAACAAAATATTGGATTCATGTAAAAGTTAAGACTTCATTGTTCAATTCTCCACTGACTGCAGATGCACACGTTTAATGGTAACACGAGTTTAAACGAAAAAACGAGCATGCCAAATCCACCTCCGACATGGAGAGGAAGTGTTTAATTATAAGACATCACGTGGAAGAGAGAGAGAGAGAGAGGGAGAGAGAGAGGGAGAGAGAGAGAAGGGGGAGGGAGGGAGGTAAAGGAACCCGATTTAAAAGCTCGCACTTTTTTTATCTCCTCTGCTGGAGAAGGCGAGTCTTATATTTCCTTCCAGAATGGGCAGTGTTGCCTCAGATGCGTCTGGACACCAGCAGCATCGAGTCATGGACGTGTGTACCTAGCTTCACAAAGTACGGAGGGACAACTTCTAGCCACACACCTTTTAACTGCTTTAGTGACGGTGACACATTGAAATAACCATTGCTCGGTCTCTTGTTCCTTGCGGGGGCTGTTTTAGTGGATGGTTTTGAGTGGGTTTGCGCACAATACGCTTATGCGCGCGCCGTGACGTGGAGAGGACTCTTTATGGTCTCTCACCTGCTGCTGCCGCGGCTGCTGGGCACCAGCCTCGCAGATACAATGTTTTATCCTAATTACGTACGGGTACTATGTGTTAGGTCCGGCTATTATAGTAGGAATAACGTCAGCCACCCCGACGTGTCCTAAACTGTGTCCTAAACTCCGCGCGGAAACTTTACGCACGAACGTCAAACATCCAAAGTCTGTTTTCTCTTCCCTCCTCTCCAGCCCATGTACGCGGACGTAGCAGCTGCAGTTTCGGGGGCCAACACTCGCTTGGAGTTGCCGTCCTCAGGAGGACCGACGCAGACCATCGGGTCCGCCAGAACCCGCAGGGGCCCGTGAGAGCACCGGGTTGCAGCAGCGTGGATCAACATGAATATCCAGGTTGTGCCAGAACACAGGCTCTCGTCGGTGGCCCCGCTGAACCGGTGCAATGTGGATAAAAAAGAGGTAGAACTGATACTGGTGAAGGACCAGAATGGCGTCCAGTACACCAGTTCCTCCATCATCCCCACCCCTGGCCACCCCGCAGGTCCTCCCGGGTGCACCGATGAAGAGCGCGAGACTTGGGGAAAGAAAATTGACTTTCTTCTGTCGGTTATTGGCTTTGCAGTAGACCTGGCCAATGTTTGGAGATTCCCTTACTTGTGCTACAAAAACGGAGGAGGTGAGTTGAACTGGAATGCACGTTCAAAGATGCTTGCACATGTGACACAGAGTCACAGAGTTATCGTAGTGTCAGGTGCGGCTACTTCCAACCACATAATAATAAAGAATACGTGGCGTCGGCCAAGTACACTGTGCATGTAAATGACAGTTGTTAGACAAATCTAAGGGCTGCACTAGAAAGAACTTACTCGACAACGGTGTAAAATAATTTAAAAGGACATTTATCAATTATAACATTTGCATGCAGGGGAGATAATTAAAAGACACATGAGTTATGCATAAAGGCTTCTCGGAGGTCTTACTCGCCATCTCTGAGTTATTGAAATGTGAGACACTTAATACAGGGAGATCTGGACCAGATCTTGTAACTGGTCAGCTTCTATCTTCAAACAGCAGAGAAGGTTGTTAATCACGTGCGAGTGGAGGACACTTGGAATAATACGACTTTACATGAGCTCCTGTAAAACAAATTCTCTTGACTATCAGTTTGCACAGAACACCATGTATCTTTGTTAACAGATAGACTCTCTGTAGTCTAAAGTAAGTAAATACTGACAAAGACCAAAATATTATCAAGTGTTTCCAACAATCGTTGTCTGTTTATGGCTCAGGTGCAAAAGCTCCTATTTCTATTTCTAAGCCCTTCGCAACTACAAATGTGTTGTTAAAAAATTTGATTGACATTAGTTGTTTTTTTCCTAAGTTGTTATAATAGTTACTTTAATAATCAGTTTAATGTTCTGATATTTTATAACTGTTTTAACGTTGTGCCACTTTCCATTCTTTAAATAGATATCACGAGGAACAATTTCAGCTTTCCAAATTTTTGAATATTTACTTGTACATGTAGGGTGATGATATAATGTTCATAAAACATGACCATATAGTTTAAATTATCCTACGTGTCTTAAATTATTTTGTATATAGCAATTCCACTCATATTTTGTACTTTGATTTTAATTTACCAAAAAAGGGAAAAACCAACAAACATAGCGAAATGTATTTTTGACAATAACATTATTGTTACTTATTATGGCTGTTGTTAATTATTGTTCATTATTCTTTTCCCTCCCGGAGGGCAGTTTAACTAACAAAGGATAGTTTTAATGGGTGTTTCTCTATCAGCGCTCATCCACAGAGGGCTCATCACCAGAACGCGGGGCCCTGCCCTCGTTTTTGCCCGTTGTGTCCATTCGCGTGAGGCGAACACCAACATGTTCTCCTCAGTGCCCCGAAGGGTCAACTCCAACACCGCCGGCCTGTCAATCAACATTGGCCCTCAGCAAAACGTGTTAATTACTGTAGTCAATCGTGATGGAAACTGTCGAGAACAATTCAATTATGGCAGGTCATTTCCTTGTCGGGGGGGCAGGGTGGGGGGGGGGATGTAATACTGAGGTCCTGCATGAAAGTATCCTTCCTGCTTGCATGTTATGGTGTGTTGTTTTTTCCAACAATCTCAAAACAGCTAATCACCGCACCCCCCCACCCCACCCTTTTTTTCCCACTCCGAAAAACTACAGGCCAAACAATGTGTAAAGCGTGAGATGTCCTTATTTCTCTTTCCAGGTGCCTTTTTGATCCCGTACATTCTTTTCCTGGTCATTGCGGGGATGCCGTTATTCTACATGGAGCTCGCCTTGGGTCAGTACAACAGGGAGGGGGCAGCCACAGTTTGGAAAATATGCCCCGTCTTTAAAGGTGAGCTCTAACACACACACACACACACACACACACGCACGCACACGCACGCACACGCAAACTAGACGCACACATGCGAACTAGCGTGTCCTTTTCCCTCACCCTTCTCCCCAACCTGTGCTACGTCATGCTCTCTGTTGCTTCCCGTCCCTGTCCTGCCCTTTCATTTCATCGCATTGCTCTTGTCCTTTAACCCCCTTAAAGATTCGTAAGTGTCACTTAGAACCAATTTCTCCGTCCCTGTACCTATTTCTCAATTTCACCTCTCTGTATTCTGTACCTTTCTCCGCCTGTGCTTCCCGACCTTAAACCCTGTCTATGTTTCTTCAAATGTCAATTTCAAATGAGTGAAGCCAAAGCAAACCAGGCTTCTGTCTCTGGCCTGCTGAGGAACACACTTCTGGTTGATGTAATTACAAGTCACTGAATCTTAAATTCAAAGGGGATCTGTTATGCACTGTTGTTATTGAAAACGCCTTAAACAAAAGTGAAAGTGAATAATGTTCACCTCTCATGATTAGCATTGAATTGACCTCTTTTCACATTGTGCTCTTTAAACATCAGATTATTATTTGAAGCAGCACATTTGCAATAACGTCCGATAAATACACAGCCTGCAGTACTGAATCAGCAACAATCTCTGCTTTTGTTGGCTTCAGTGCTGAGAAGGGTTTGTTTTCCTTCCTGCCAGAAATAATGTGAATGTGATGGATTTATGGTGGTGGTTTCTTTGTTTTTCGCATATGGATTTATTCATAGCAATAGTTATGGAATGTAAGCTTTAGCTTTTAGCGCCTTCGCGCCCAGCGGATGTGTTTGAAAAGTTTGATTGCACGCTAAGGACGAATAAAACTGTAAAGGGGACTCGAAATATGTTGACAGGTCAACAAAGCCTCAGACGAGAGAATACAAATGACTAAATATGTACCAGAAAACTTTACATACGACAATTTTAAATGAGTGTATGCAGAGTATGCATTAAGTAATTTCATCATTCCGTTCTTACTAATAATAACTCCTGCTCCTCAGGTGTCGGCTACACTGTGATCATCATAGCCCTGTACGTCGGTTTCTACTACAACGTCATCATTGCCTGGTCCCTCTACTACCTGTTCTCCTCCATGACCAATGAGCTGCCGTGGCTCAAATGCGGCAACGCCTGGAACAGCGAGAACTGCACCGACCCCAAATTGGTCAACGGCTCTGTCATCGGCAACGGAACTACTTACGCCAAGTACAAGATCACCCCGTCAGCGGAGTACTATGAGTGAGTGATTTCTCAAAGTCTGAGTAATACGTTTATCGGAGTATTTACGTTTTATGCGACTTTGAAACAGTTGGAACCTCTTACCTGACATTTACGAAGTTTTTAACATTACACACTATCTATTCAAGCATCAGACCAAATGACCTATTAGGTAAATCTCGAAGAAGCAGTTGCCTTAATTTATGGTAAATGGAAACATTCACCATTGTTCAAAGCTTTGATCTGCATGTGAATACGGCCGCTGTCTTCCTGCGTTTATCTAGTTTACCAATGTTTGTACTATACAAGGAGTATACATAAAAAGTTCAAATGCACTCTTTGAAGAGCATGAAAAACTCCATCTGTTTATACTTCAAAGACAGCCAGTTCTTCCCCAGCTTCTATAAAGACTTACTGTGCGGCCCCGGAGGAAGTCTGTGAAGTGACTCGGACAGTAGACGCTACACGTGCCAGGCGTGACGCACACCACGAATACACTGAGCATGCAATGCGGAAAAATAATTTAGCTCGTTAAAGTTTCACTCCCGTTCTGCTGCGCTGTCTTGTACCGTTTATTTAATCAGGATCCCAGGCCGCTTTTAAACACCCCCCCCCCCCCTTTAGAAATTGAATATCTTTTTAGAATAAGCAAATACTTTTACTTAACAAAACGAGGTCAGCATTTGCGTCAGAGCTTGTGTATTGCGTTACGCTTTCCAACAAGTGATGTGATATTGCTCAAAGAGCTGACATTGTGCCTGAAGAAGGCAGAGGGCGGGCGATTTGGTCCAGGTGGACGGTTACGCCACACTCTGGGGAAGAAATAAAATCAGCAGCTGTGCATAGACAGGATATTAGGCTCTGTTGGGGACAATTTGTCCTTCTGCCTCCGGCTATAGCTTAAAGCGCCGGAGCAACGCCAAGGCACAGCATGGGGGGGGTGCACGGCCAACTGAGTCAACAGTCTCTTGATTCACCTGCTACAAATCATCTTGAGCCCACTGTTCTCAGTTATGCTGAGTGTATAGTTTGCATGAAAACAGGGAGCATTCTTTCACACTTAGTTTACAACACAGCTGTTCGGGCTCCCAAGCTCATATATTAGCTGGTTGATTGCCCACAAGTCAGAGTACAGTAGGTTTTCCATGTGCGCACACGTCCAAACTGTGCATGTGACAGGGACAGCAGCCAGAGGACTCGAGTGGTCGGGCGAAGGACGAAGACAGGCACGGCCTGGTGCATAGATTGGTGGGAGGCAGAGGTACCAAAAAGGGGTCAGGCGGAGACGGAATCCAAACATGTAATCAAGGTCGTAGACTTAATAAAAAAGTAACTGGAGTAAACACGAGGGAGCCGGCGCCCTTTGAAGTCGGTACGAGTCGAACTGGCACAACACAAAAAGGGGAGGGTGAGTCGACGGGACCCAGGTGGACACAATCGGGATGGGGACGCTGAAATCCGCACACTGGGAAGACAAGAGGACAGGCTATTCAGGACACCTGAAACAATAAGGGAGGGTAGAGAAAAACTGCATTATATTAAAAACCAAGGCAAACGACAAAAGTTACTGAACTTTAAACAATAATTTAGTGTGTTAAAAGGAGCTACTTCATCAGCATAAACATGAACAACTCCATTGTATTCCCCTAAATGATACATTGAGGTTTAAATTCAAAAGATTCTAAAACATGACACTAAAAAATGAATAGAGTAAAAATCATTGCAGAACAAGCTGGTGTGATATCATGTGACACGACTTGTTTTCGAGGATGTGGAGTGGAAGGCATGCAGCCAAAAACACTGCTTCTGCCAAAAGACTGACCTGGAAACAAGACTTTCTGGACATTTGTCTCTGATTTAATTGCAATATGCAGCCTCCACAGATAACCAACCCCCCCCCACACAGAAAAACTGCAAAAATCCCCGCATTGTGTCTATGAGCTCTTCAGAATAGAGCAATGCTGTCTCATTGGTAAAAGGGCAAACACATTATGGTGGCTAGATTATCAGATCGTCAAACAGCAAACAACAACAAAAAACCCACACATCAAAGAGTACAGCAAATGTGTGTTCGAATGAATATTCCTGTCCACATGTACAGTTGAGATAGACATTTAGGGTCCATAGTTCATATGCTTTCTTTTTTTCATCTCAAAAGTTAAACAAATGATCGGCACAATCCCGCAAAGCAAAGTATCACATGTCAATTGAGAAGATTGCTTTTACTTACTCACGTGCAATTTGATACATTTGTTTGAATTACATTTAAAAGCTACATTTGTTATTAATTAAATGAATTAGATTGAAATAAACCCCTGAGCTCATTTATATACTTTTTATACGCCCTATTTCTCATTCTTTAACCAACATTAAGACCGGGCTGCATGTCGCCGTGCCAGCTTAAAGTATACAGAGACCAACTAATGGCAACGCTGAGTGTTAGGAAAGCAGCGTAACCAGCCCGCTGAGTGACGATAAGAGTAAATGTGTTTAGAGTAACTGGGCCTAAGGGACCTGGATTGATGTAGAGAGCATTTACTGGCAGCGCACTATCGGTGCTATCAGACGAACAAGGAGGCCTTGAGGCATTACAACAGAACACCAAAACGAGGCCCTAAGGTCGGAGCACAGACTCTTAATTTTCTCTGCCAAAATAAACGGATGTCTTCACGCCGCTATCTGCGTCCCCGAAGACCTTATGGCTTTGGATTCATCGTCAGCCAAAGATAAATAAATGCGGAAGAGGAGTTTCACAGATCCTTTGGAAGTCTGAACATACTTCAGTTTGCGTGTTTCCGAGGGTGTTTTGTCTCGGGCCCGTTGCATAAGCCAATATCAGATCAAATACAGTTCCTCTGTTTATCAACCAGAGCATCACATGCTCACTTAATTGAATCTTTTTTGAGGACAAATGTGGGGGGGAACAGAGGTGCTTTTCAAAGAGTTTCAGAAGATTGTGGATATCCAAATAAAATACAAGTCGTTCCTGGTTGAAAAAGGACACTTTGAATGCAAATACTGGTGTTCTGCAGCTAGTTGAAAAAGCAGATGACCGTCTGAAGGTCTCGTAGTCAAACTGAAGGTTTTCTAAACGGTATCATGTTCTCTTTTATGTTTATGTTACGTTGTGTCAAATTTAGGAGATTGGTCAAGTTACGTTAAGTCATTCTGTGAACTCTTCTCCAGTCGTGTACAACCTAATAGTTCTCAACAGTATCATCTCCACAATCCTCCTATATGTTTTCATTGGCAACCATCATGTTTTCCCCAAATGATGTATATATTGTAGGCGTTTTAATATCTCAAATGGCTTGGAAAATAGTTTATGTAGTAAATGTGGGTAAGAGGGAATCTAGGTTCGGACTGAGCTCTGAAAAGGGAACCACAAACAATTGTTTTTCCCATTACTCTATATACATTTAGGACATTTAGATAGAGATGGAAGAGACAGAATTTCTTTAGATATTATTTAATCTACGGTAGTGAAGGGATTCATTTGCTGTAATTCTTCAAATTAAATACTTTGCCCTGAGATGAACTGCGGGGACGTGACATTGTCAGTTTGAAACTGTTTGTTGAAGGTGGAGTGCTGTAATGCATCTGATTAGTTATGTTTGATTAGAGTCTCTGCCCAATACTCCCATCCTCAGACACCTCAGGCACACACAGTCTTTGCTGTTTTGTTAACTCATCCTGCTACAAAGAACTTGTGTGGGACAATCTCTGACTTTTGAGATGTTGCCAAAAGAAATATTGCCCCGTTCTGTGAAACGACGACAAGTTATGATTGGTGCCGATTAGTGTTTTGTTTAGAAGATCATCGCTGACAAAAGTATGTTCCTTACTTTTATCCTAAAGCTGTGCATTGTGATAGCATTTTATATTTTCTATCTATACACTACATTGTTTTTTTGGATTTCACATCCTCCATATTTCCTGCTGCAGACGGGGTGTCCTGCATCTCCATCAGAGTCGGGGCATCAATGACCTCGGCCTGCCTCGCTGGGAGCTGACCTTGTGTCTCGTGGTGGTGGTCTTCATCCTCTACTTCAGCCTGTGGAAAGGTGTCAAGTCTTCGGGGAAGGTACTGGCCTGCGCGCTCCACAACGACAACAAAAAACACTGTTTGCTTTCTCTTCTTCCAACATGTACGCACAAGTGTGTAGCTGTGGTTCTGTAACAGACAGACTGCAGCACGGAATAAACTGTTGTTATTGGGTCCAAACAGTCCAGAGGCTGTGATAAACATTGTGAAGACTCAAGACTCTTCCCCCATTTGCATGTTTAAGTTGTCAATATATCACAATGCAGAGCTTTTATAATAGTGCAGCACATTATTACTTTATTTAAAATGTTGTATGGCTACTTATTAGTCTGTTAATAAGATGGGTGGTGGGATTTTTTCTCTTTTCATGATATTGACATTTGTTTCTCTATTTGATCTGTGTGTGTGTGTGTGTGTGTTCATTCAGGTGGTGTACATCACGGCCACCATGCCGTATGTGGTCCTTTTCGTTTTGCTGATCAGAGGTATAACTCTACCTGGGTCAATGGACGGCATCAGGGCCTACCTCCACATTGACTTCAAGCGCCTCAATAATCTGGAGGTCAGAGACGGCGCACATACACGGCTACTCGTAATGTGACAGTCTCATTTGGCTACGTGAAACGCACAAACCCACATAAATATTAAATAGGTATCCATGGAATCGCTAATGAAAATCCAGGAACAGTTTTTGCTTCCAGTATGAAATGGAGGTAAAAAATTACCTCTGTAGAAATTGCAAACTTCTTTCAAGTATTCTTCAATCCAGAACAATGTACATTTAGTTGATTAAGGTGCCATTTAAAATGAAATAGCTGATAAAGCAATATAGTTTGTTGTGTTTTTGTTACATATCTCAAACCATTCAGTTACTCCGGTTTTCACTTCCTGAAAGCTAATTGAAATATTTGGCTCACCTAAAAATGCGCCGATGGTCCAAAACAAAGATGGTGACCACCAAGAATTTGGGTCCGGAAACCAATGGGTGACGCCACAATGATTACATCTACTTCTCATATACAAACGATGAAACAGACCTTGAGATTTTTGTGTCATTAGTTGTTTCATGTTAACCCCGTGGGATCTATCCAATTAGGGTACTTTGGAAGTAAGTACTGCGTCTCTCTGTGTACTTAGAAAACCTTCTTTCTAGGATCACTGTAATATCTCAAACTCTGGAGGCCACATATACCAACTGCTGGTATGTAAACAAATTAGCATACATATTTTCAAGATAGCCGACTTGCACATTTTGCAAACCAGAGCCACATGTTTTCCACACAGCTTAGTTAGAATAATTTAATCATTAATTAGCATTTACATTTAACACTTTTCTTACAAGTGTTCTGGGTTTTCTTTGATTTTTGCCGCAGGTGTGGATTGACGCTGCCACACAGATATTCTACTCCCTGGGAGCAGGATTTGGGGTGCTCATTGCTTTCGCCAGTTATAACAAATTTGACAACAACTGCTACAGGTAAGAGCTGGCAATTCATTTGTGTTTTATGAACACAAAGTCCACAACGAGCTCATAGCAACTTAATATCCTGCCGTCTTTAAAGCAGCCTGGCCTTTTTCAGCATGTAACTGGATCACGAAGCAGCAGAAGTGATGCTAATCTGCTCAGCTGACCCCCAGGGCCAGGTGTTAACGGGGCAGATAAAGCGCAGGCCAGGAAGCAGTTTTTTAGATCATAGCCAAAGGCCGCATGTCGGTGGTTTGTCATCTGCTGGTCTTCTTCAGAGCAGGCAGGAGGATGTGAGCTTGCCTTATCTTTTTAAACATTAATAGGTTGCAGTGGTGCGGTTTGAGGCAAACACTGCTGGCAGAGCAGCAGTTTCATGTTTGCAAATGTCCAATACCCAACAGACGGAACACGTCTTGCTGAAACCAACAGATCTCTAAAAAAAGGAGGAAAAAAAGTTTATACCAAAATATTATCTCCCATAAAAAAAAAAAAAAAGTGAAACAGACCTCCAAACTAAATCAGTGCCGTACTGGAAGTTCTAAGCGTTATCGGCCCTTCCTCTCCTGTCCTCACCCATTTCCTCCACCTTCTCAAACACAAACAGGGCCCCCCCCCGGCCATCCTCCCCTCCCGTGTCCTATTTAGAGGTAGGTGGGTGGAATGCCGGCAGGTGGCATTCGCATTGTGCAGCTAATGAGAACTATCTGAACTAGATTAAAGGTAACAGCCTGGAAGAGGTGGTGCAGTTAGAAGACTAAGAACTGACCAGACCTTTGTTTGAATACCCACACAGATGGAGGAAATCTGCATAAGGTATAGTGCAGGGAGTGCGCAGCAGTGACCTACCTGTAAAATAAAACATAACCCCCGGGAACCAAGGTAAAACATTTATCTGGTTTAAATGTTTTTCTTGACTGGTGTTTTCTACCAGTGCGATATGGAGATGAACATTTTTGAAAGTGAGCTACATTTTTTAAACTTAAATCTAAATCTAAAATTAAAATCTCATAGTTACCATTTACAATAAATTATACTTCAAAGAAAATCTTGAAATAGACAAACTGCAAAGGGAATGGATTATCTTCAAGCGAAGAACATAATTCACCGTGACCTGAAATCTATTAATATCTGTGATATTCTAACATATTAAATCACTTCTGAAAATAGTCCCCAGACTTTTCATAAGTAAATAAGGCTTATGTTTTTTCATTAATATTGCCGCAATCCTAGACTGATAAGCTTCAGTTCATAAAATAGACTAATTCCGTCTTACTCTGTCGAAAGAATAACTTGTCCGTAATTAATGTCTTAGTTTTTCATATAAATGCTTTTAAGCGAGGCACAGGCTCTTGACCAGACAAACAATACAAAAGAATAGAAACCATCTGGGGGAAAGTATAGCTTCATTTTCAGGTTTCTAATCCCATTGTGCAGAAGAATTGCCAGGGTCAAGTTGACTCTGTTTAGTTTGTCAGACAGCAGCACGTTAGTGGCCACAGAAGGGTACGTTAACAACAGATCAAATGCAACAAAGCTTCAATTTCACCTCAATATTTGCTGTTAAACAAACTTTGGCCGACGATCAACCCGTGAAAACCCAGAAAGATATCAAGTTACACGTGGCTCCAGTTTAAAAAAACAGCCAAATGAATGGATACGGGCTCAATGTCTCTTTTAACAAGAGACAGTTAGTGACTCATTGGCACAACTAAAACTGAAAACACAAATGCACAAATTGGTAATCGGACATTCATCGTTGGACAGTTGTGGAGCTGAGATGTTGGAGATGCACATGTAAATAAACCCAGCTTTCTTTTGAAACTTGTCCTTTGCTGTTATGTTTTCTTTCTCCAGGGACGCTCTCCTGACTAGCACAGTGAACTGCATCACCAGTTTCTTCTCAGGGTTTGCCATCTTCTCTGTGCTTGGATATATGGCTTACAAACATGGGGTGAAAATAGAAGACGTGGCAACAGAGGGTAAGTCCCGGGGTCTTTGACAAACACAGAAAATATGTTGTAGTAAGATTACAGACACTACTGCACCTCACCACTGCGTAAATGTGTGTATCAAACCTTTTTTTCTACCACACTGTTTGGTCACGTTAGTCATATTTGCACTTTGTATGTTGTACTCTTTAAAGCCATAACTTTTGTATTTCTGTGTGTGTGTGTGTGTCTGTACAGGGGCAGGATTGGTATTCATCATCTACCCGGAGGCAATTTCTACACTCCCTGGTTCAACATTTTGGGCTATTGTCTTCTTCATCATGTTGCTGACTCTGGGCATCGACAGCTCGGTGAGTCCACATCTCTCCATACGGCTCATAAACAATGAAATATACAAATATATTTTAGCATTTCCAAAAACAAATTAATTAATTACAAGAATTAAGTTGAGTGGTGGTATATTAGTGATGAAATAGTGATGAGTATACATTTTACGAAAGGTTGAAAGACTATATAAGCATTTATACTGCAATTTACAACACTAAACTGCAAAAAGACTTATTGTCCCTGACCAAGGTGTGGTTGTCCCTGTGCTAAGAAACAGTTCTTTCTTTACTGTGCACGTGCAGAAGAGAGCCGATACATTGCACATTAAACAAGAACAATTGAATAGTGAAAATTTGGTTTTAGTGAAGTGACATTTGTTTTACTTTTCCTAATAGCAACATTTACAATAAAAGCTCAGGTTCAGTATTTAAAACACACTTAATTACATAATTTACAATTTACGATAATAAGTAAAATGATTTTTCAGTGTGGTCAGCATTAAAGTGACAAAATATCCTGCTGCAACGAGAACGTCTTTCCTTGACGTTTCAAAAGCCAGCCGCAATTGAACAAATATCTGGCCAAGTCATTAGAGCACTGAAACAGAACCGTTTAATACCCTGTTACGTCTCAGCAGATGTCTCGAAGCACGTAAATTATCCTCCCAATCCTTTATCAAGCAGATGAAATCAGGCGCGTGTTAGTTTTACACCGCGTAACGTGCTGTTCCATGTTTTTGGCTGTACTTTGTTGCTGTGCGCTCTGTAGACATGTCTGAATGTCATGTCCCTCTCTGTTTGTGTCCCCCAGATGGGCGGCATGGAGGCGGTCATCACAGGCCTTTCAGATGACTTTAAGATCCTCAAGAGAAACAGGAAGCTCTTCACCTTTGCCACAGCCTTTGGAACCTTCCTGGTTGCCCTCTTCTGCATCACGAATGTCAGTATCAAGTTTCAAAGTGCCACATTAAGCCCCCGTACTTGAATAAAGTACATGTCAAATCCCCACTTTCAACACAAAACCCGCAGATATCATGTTTTTCGTGATCAAGCCTTGTATTGTTTTGTGTTAAAAGAACAACCTTTAGTGCAAGGTTGCCTTTAGCACTGCATGTAGTGTATTATTCAGTGTGGTGGTCAAAAAGGGATGTCACAAAATTAAAGTTCTATCCAGGAAGCAAATGTTTAATTTCCTCTCTAGTCCCTATTTATTCACATGGATTCACCAAGGAGACACGCTTAGATGTCTTACCTTTATCAAACCATTGTTTAGTGAATGATGCCTTGCTCATGGATGCTATGTGTCAAGATTTTACCACTTGGGTCACCTCAAACAGCAAAGACAGAGATGCAGTGCAGTATTAAAAGCTAAGAAGCCAAACTAATCTCTTCCTTCTTCTGTGTAGGGGGGCATCTATGTGCTGACCCTGTTGGATAAATATGCAGCAGGAACTTCCATATTATTTGCTGTCTTGTTCGAGGCCATTGGAGTGTCATGGTTTTATGGTATGAAATTCTACAGCACTTTGGCATTAGACCCTTTTTTTCTCCAAATTACTCAATGTATACTGTGTAGTCTAATTTCAGTACACACTTGCATTTTAAAATAACCTCACTTTTTTCACATTGATGTTATGTTGTAACTGCACTTGCCCCGTTAACCTTCGATCTGTAACTTCTCATTCTCGTGTCAGGCGTGGACCGCTTCAGCGAAGATATCGAGCGAATGATGGGCTTCAAACCAGGTCTCTACTGGAGGCTGTGCTGGAAATTTGTCAGCCCAGCTTTTCTGCTGGTGAGTGTAATGACAAATACATTGACGTATTTGCGTTTGGGATAATGCCGGATCCTAGACACTAGAAATTGGTTGTCTTCTATTAAATGTTATCCATAAAAGCCTTCCGGCTGTCTGAATTTGGCTGATTTTCCCGAAGAGGGATAATGTCTGATTAGAGACAGTTAAACATTGTTAATCTTCGATCAAATGTTCTCCACAAAAGCCTACCAGCTGTATCGAGGCATCCATTCTAGCAGTAAATATGAATTCATGCAGTTATTTGTCACAGGGAAACAATTATCTATCAGAATCAACAGTTAAGTCAAATGTAAACGTAAAACATGAAAAAGCATTGGTTCATATACCATTATTTCAGACATTTCAAGAAGATTTTTTAAAGCAAAAATGATCTGGAAAGTGTGTTTTAAAATATGTTTAAATTGCTTGATATTTGTTAACATTATTATAATAATTTGCAGATGTATTTGGCAGACAAGATATTACTCCAATGAACACGCATTTGCACTATAAAAAAGTACACATTCATGTAAAAAGTCTTCAACTGATTGGCGTGCAGCATTTACCGGTGTCCTCTCTTATAGTAGAAACAAACGTGATGAGTAATGTGAGTCAGAGAATAATGACACAACATCCCACCGTGTCAGTTATATCCCACTTCAATGCTTTTCCTGTAGCATCCACGGATGTGCGCTGCAATTATAGTAATGACGTGACTTCAAACATTGCAAAACCTTTGAACACAAACAGTAACATGCGTTGCGTGTGTCTCTGTCGTCCCTTCTCTCTCTCTCTCTCTCTCTCTCCATCACAGTTTGTTGTAATAGCCAGTGCTGTGACGTCGTCAGGCCTGAAGTATGATGACTACGTCTTCCCTAACTGGGCGAACGTAGTTGGTTGGTGTGTGGCCATGTCCTCTATGCTGTTCGTCCCCTGTTATGCCATATATAAATTCTGCAGCGTAAAGGGAACATTCAAACAGGTCAGTGTTTGGAGATTCTCACTTTTGTTGAGTTATGTTCTCCCACTCGTAGCTCCGCTGGTGGTGAAGTATTTGTCGTGGTGGAGAGCATTTGTGATTTTTGTTACTTTGCAGTTTATGTGTGGTTACGTCGATAAAATAGGAAAAGTCCACAATTTTAAGGCCGTTGTTTAACTTAAAACTGCAAACTGAGACTTAAATGTATGTAGATAATATTTAATCGCTCCAATAACAGTTGCTTCCTTTGTATGTTGGCACTAGTAGAAAATACAATGTTTAATTATATTGCAAAAACGCTGCTGGTATAGACAACCAGGTCAGCAATCCCTGTTAGCAGTTAGCTATGTCAAACTAACTTGTAGCTAATCGAATATCAACGCCGCTGTTCTCGATTTTCTTTTGAAAAAGGGTCATGTGATGATAGGATTGTGACAAATCAGGGAAGGTCACATGATGCATGCTAAGACCCGATCAAGTAGGGAACGTCGGTTTCTACATTCAAAATATTAATGCTCTTTCCGCTTACAAAACCCGTCTTAGACGCACCTTTTTAAACAATCACATTAGGGCAAAGTATATATATATGCTTTTATATACAAGTAGCAAGTTGCTAAGAAGGCATCCTTTATATTCTTTCAAGCAAAACATCAATCTGATGCAGGAGGGAACTCTCTTATTTCAACTTGATGGCACTGGCACAGTGAAAACCCTTTCTGATTAAATAAGCACTTTAAAGCATTTTTAATCACAATCATTAAAGCATAAGAGAGCTATTTTTATCCGTCAACAGTTAACCAGTGTCAGCTTTACTGTAACAATTATCCCCTCCCAGTAGCATTTCCCGTTGGCACTCAGGGTTTAAGATTATTCTCAAGCTCCCAAAACATACTTTCAATGGCTATCACATTTTGCTGTACCAATGGTCATATCAATGTTTGACATGTGAGAAAATCTCTTTTTAATTAAAAATAGTCATTAAAGCGTAAACACAAGACTTTAGTGTTTATCTCCTTATAGAAACCACAATCTCCCAAGTTCTTGGTAAGGATTTCTGAAGGATTTCTCGGTCAACATATTCTCTGTGGAATCAAAAATAACTTTCCCAAATATCTGAATTTAGATTCTTACTTTCTAGTAGGTTGATGTAGGTTGCTCTGTACCAATATGCCAATGTAAAAAGTAACTAGGTCACTGCCATGGGCCCAAAGGCTCTTTGCTGATGCCCTGAGTTGAAGGCTGAGAGTCAGCAGGCAGTGAATTGAAGAAGAAAAACGTACAAAGTGTGGGACTCCAAAACCACAAGACAACCTTGAGCATGCAGCTATAACTGAACACCTAAAATGGTATCAGTTTGCCGCTGCAGAATAACAAATTAGATGTGGACAGACACAGAGGTGCACACTCACCCATGGATGCATCTTTTGGCCGCGATGAAAACAGTAATAATAACACACAATAAAGGGAAATCGTATTTTATGTTCGCCTAAATGAAAACTGTTGCTTTGAGAGAGAATTTGGGAATGATGTGTTTGTGTTTTTACAGAGGATAGCCTATTGCATCACTCCAGAACATGAACATCATTTGGTGGCTGAGGGAAATATACGGCAGTTCACAGTAAGGACATGTTTTTGTTATACTTATACATACTTTTTGTTGATGGTGTGAATTTAAACTAACTGAATGGCTGAAATCAAGATGGAATGGAACACATTAAATTGTTTGTGAAAAGGAATGATTTAACATTCGAGCATGTTCCATTACAAATTAAAATACATTCTACTGTTCATGCCATTATATGCCAGGAAAAAAAGCATGCAATATAATTGCGACTTGTGGTTAAACTAGAGTAACAAACATTCAACGTTAAGCTACAAAACAGACTCTTGTTTTACAGCTCAAGCATTGGTTGGCCATTTGATGACTTCAGCCAAAATTCCCTCGTCCATCTTCACATCTGGTGTTTGGAGTTCCTGTGTGCCACCAGTGGTCACAACACACGAGATGAAGAGCAGGCTCCAACTTCGTTCAGCAGTCTCTCCCCGTACATTTAATACCCAAGGCCTTTGTTGACAACAGTAGCTTCAAGCTTTCAAAAAATCTGAACAGGCATAAACTCTGAATCATTCAACAGCTTCAGCTCAGAAGGGAGGGACACTTCATGGGGACAAAATACACACTGTTATTTGCCCGTAGGGAGAGTTTTTTTCTTTAAAAAAATATATACATATACTGCTAGAATTAATCATTACTGTATAATTTGTGGTAGGACTATTACATCCTGGAAGGAACATACACTAAAATGAACACAATGTTATTAACTTTTATACTATTACACAGGAAACCCAAAACAAATACATTTTCATTTAGTTTTAAAGCTTATCATTTATTAATGCATTAATATTGGAAGAAGGTCATTGTTCTTGCCGTTCTGTTGTCAGTGCCTTATCAAGTGAGACACTCCATGTTTATTACACGTACAGGAAGAAATTAAATAAATATTATTAAATGACTCAGGAAGCCACCAAATCAAGCCACAGGTTGTGGAAGGCAATCTCACGATTTGACTTAGTCCTTTAATACTCAAGTCAAAGAGCTGGAAGTCAACAGTGAAGGAATTTTACTATATTTTAAGTCTTATAATGCTTTCATGGCACATTACATTACAAAAAAAGGGAATAATGCAAGCATCACTCCATAGTTTTAAAAAGACTGAGGCAGGTCTCATCCACCTCTCATTCTTTGAAAGGCCGGACTCCCCAACACCGCCTTAACCTCAAAGAAAGACGAAGGCTGAACCTGGTCAACACCTGGCTGCTTACTGGGGATGAAAACAATACAAAATAAAAATGGCGTCACTGTTAGTTTTGTATCATTGTTGTGGGGCTTTCACTTTACACATGTATTTCTGTACAGGGCTTCTGGGGAGTGTGAGAGGCTTTTTTCTCCAAAGAGACCGAAAGGAAGATAGACAGAGTATGTTTGTGTGCGTGTGTGTGTGTGTGTGTGTGTGTGTGTATTGGGATTCGTTGCCAACCACACGGCGTGCTGTTAGTGTGCAGCAGACGGAGGGGTGACTATCGTCAAATGCCTCTTTCGTGACACAATATACCATCTTAACTGCGCTTAGATTGTTATTTGAAACATATATCGTGATGTTCTGTTTTTTCATCACCAATATGAAGTGCCAATATGTTCCTTGAAGAATGTTTTTGATCACCTTACTCCTCATACCTCATCTTGTGTTTTCAGTTGGGTTTGTTGATTTATCAGCAGAAAACCTCTGGACCAATTTCCATGAAACTGATGGAAAGATGACGCGTGGGCCACGGAAGAACCTATTACATTTCCGAGCAGATTGGCCTCGGTGAAGGTCCGTGCTCTTCAAGTGCACTTCTAATTTATTTATTGGAATTCAGTAAATTTTGAAATGTTAATTATAACAACCCCTTACCGCAAGGAATAAAGCCAAGAAGAAAAAACAGCAAACTGGAATATAGGAGACAATATAAAAGTGTATTCTTTTGTTATGTATAATCTTGTATTCAAATTGTTTATAACAAAACGTGAATGTAAAGTATTTTAAGCGTAAATGTTCACTGTTACAAAATTGTGTTTGATGTAAAACTAAAATGAACTATGTAGAAAAAAAATGTTCTTCTGTGTAACCCAGGGCTACTTTGTCACATGAATGTGAACTAATGCACCCTGGCTTTTCTGGACTATGTTTACAAAAGAAAATACTGTGTCCAATACCAATGTCTGTTGAATGTTAGTGACAACTATCTATGGAGAAGTCCGAAGTATTCACACTATGATAATAAACACTTTCATCTACACACACACTTGAAGGCCGTGTACTGTGATTTAACGAGCACACTGGCAGCTGAGAGCTTTCCACTGGGGCACGCTCACATAAACCAACATGCACAAAAAGCCGGCCCGGGTGCATGAACGGAAAAAACACACACAGAGGGACAGTGAGGTTAATCTCTCCATATGTAGTAATAATAATAATAAAACTAACAACTGAATTTAGCACCTTTCAATACAACTTTACAAAGTGCCTCACAATGAATGCATACAAACTAAGAACAAATGAAGTGAGAATTACGTGCATGTAAATCAGTACGGTAAATAATCACCACCTAACGAAGAGATTTTAAAAGACTGACAAATTCAGCTTAAAAAATAAACAGTCAATGGTTAAAATTAATTCTAAAAATCACAGGTAACCAGTGCAGGGCGGCTTGGTGTGGTCACTTCTCTTCGTACTACGGTTAAAAGCCTGGCATTGTGCACCAAACTGCAAAGGTGCCAGGTTTGATGAGGCTTTACAGTAGCAATGAAACTATTGTGTTGTGACATAAGGTAACATCTATGTGGTAAACAGGAGGGGACCCACTGTAGAGCCCTGAGGGACCTCACACTAGAGGGGAGCAGAAGAAGGGGAGGCATCCTCGAGCATTATAAAAAAGGACCTGTTCGACAGATTAGACAGCATGTAGATTTCACTATAGATTTAGACAGTAAATATCGATTTGGTGCATCAGTCATGTTTAGAATGTTACATTAGCTCATTTCAAAATAGCAAATGAGCAATAATGCACTCTGAAAAACCAGAATGAACAGGATAAAAAGAAGGTACTGAAGGTTCACAAAATAATTAATAATTAATAACAAATAATCTGGATTCTACTAAAACATAAATCATAAAGCTATATATGGCTGGTCAAATCTTTTGTTGCTGCCACTGGAACCATTGGAACCATTTCACCTGAAAACAAGCACTCCATCACTTGTACATAAAGCGGTCCTGAGAAGTCAAAAGGCCTAACGCCACAGGAGGAGTGTCTTCAAGTGGTTAATTTGCATGTCAATCCATTAACTGGTTTTTTTTTCATCATTACTTTTACATATAAGCCGTTTTTTGGGAAAAAGTTCAATTCTGCTGCATCACCCAATCAAATTGTGCGGAACAAACATTCAAAATGAACACCAGAGTGTACAACAACATGTGTAAAGGCTTTATGACCCCATTTCAAACACGTACAAGTACATTTTAGTTATCTTTAACTTCACCCAAACACTCAGTTACTGGCCCGGTTGTGCAATGGTTGCCATTGTCATCGTATACCGAGAAAGTCTGAAGTTCGAGCTAATCAATGTACATGGTTGCCTGTTATAGTTGCTGTGACTGGTGACCTATGCAGATTGTCCACCACCTCTATAGGCTCCATGCAGAGGTCTCTGCAATTGCAGAGGTCGTGAACTTGTCACTGGCGTGTCACAATGAAAATCACTTGTCACTGGCGTGTCACAATGAAAATCACTTGTCACAGTGCGTTGAAAATATTAAGTCAGATGAAACTTGTTATCTGTTAAAGCTGCTTGCCATACTTGTTAGCTCCATTTAAAGCCCACATATACAGGTTCAAATGGCAGACTGGGCCAACAGAAAAAAAAAGAAAAAAAAACACTGGTCTCGGCAGATGTCTAAGGGAAGATTTGAGCCTATTTCTGGCAAAAAAAATGGCCAACACGGAAAAAGAATGACATACTATGTTCAAAAAAGAGAAACGATAACAGAAAAATTACAGCAGATGGGGTTTTATTTTGCTATCAGAAGAGAAGAAGCCAGCTCAGAGGGGACCTGTAGGCGTAACACTACAACAAATTACACTACAAAAGAAAAGAAAAGGAGTTTTTAGACAGTAAGAGAAGAAACAACATTTTGGGACAGTGAATAACTCAATTATGCAAAGAACTTAACACCGAGCTCAAAAAGAAGTCTTCATTGGTGTCTTGGTTAGAATGCTTATTTCATCAAGTTTAGTCACAGAGTAGTGACACACCCGGGGAAATCTTTTTAAAGGCTCTTTAGTATAACTAACTACGGTACATGCTGAGGCATCTTGAATTTACCTCATGTTGGAACATTATACTTCTGAAACAGAATTCCAGAACAGTGTGATTATTAAGTTTTTGTTCACAGAACAGATTATTGGGACAATATATTTTCTAACTGGAAATAACACGCACCTCTCATCATCTCCTTCTTCCTTTTCCCACCAAGTTCAATGAGGAACACCTCCACGGCTAACAGTCGGCTTGTTGTGATGTTTTGAAGTTGAACTTTATGGTCAGCGTTTTCTATCTTGTCTCAGCCGTGGATCTTAATGCCTCCAGTTCTACTTCAATGCAGAAAAAAGGTCAAAACCACAAACTTTCAGCAAATTTGTTTAGCCAATAAAAGTCAAGCCTGGCCACCACAAACTGGTTCTTAATTGGCAGCTCTGTGCAGCACTAATGTGATTGGGGCAAAGGAGAGCCATTTTGAATGTGCCTCTTTAGACTGAAGACTTGCTCTATACTCAGAATCCAATTTCCAGGGAATAATCCATGTGACTGAGAAGTGAAATCCCTCAGTGGTTGGCAGAAGAAAACGCACGGAGAACATCCTGACACAGAGATCTGTGAATATTGTGTTATTGAAAGGTTGGTTATACGATATTCTGTGGCAAGGAAAATGTTATTGCTTCCTTGAAGTTATCCTTCCGGTAACTCAATTGAAAACTGATTCATTGTATGGCATAAAATGCCATTCTTATGGGTGGCAGCAGTGTCAGATCAGTTGTATATGTTTCGACAATCCGATTGTGTCCTGAGATCAGTCTTATGTACTACAATATGAGCCCTTTGCTTCCTCACATATCTTTTTTTAGTCATTTAGTCAGAAAGCAGTGCCCCTCTTTGACACAGAAGTATTCCAATGTTTGAGCTTCAAAAATGATTTGCCGGTACTTTCATGAGTGTCATGCCCCAATTTTTTTATTCCAAATTGAATCTTATGATTTTGATTCAGCTACTTGTTTTGTTCAATGCCAAACTTCTAATCTGCCCTACAGTGAGGGATTTATAAATGAGACATAATCTGTCTATAACCCTAAAGCTAATTTGGACACTGAGCAGTGTGGTCAGCACTCCACAGAGCTTCATCTTTATTTAGTAGTAAAGGAAATAATCTAATGAAACCACTCATTTTAATTGGCACATAAAATGTGCTTACATTCGGCCAAAGCTTGTACCTTTTTAAGATAAAAAGCGTATCGTTTTAGAGGTGCATATGCTGCATTAACCGTAATCTGTCCCTCTCACAACTGTTGCACCTGCCAATTTTTCTCCAAACGGAGCCACGACAGGATTATTGTGTACGTGCACGAACAAATATGAATGCTTCACACCGTTGGAAACACTAGTTTTGGCGGCAGTCTGCACATCCTAGTTGGAAAATCCTCCAACAAGTTACAAATTATGATATGCAAATTAGTCCAGAAAATGTGCACACCAAACTGTTCGCTAAGACAATACAGAATACGCTGATCTGAAGCCACGGCAAAACAACCACATAAATAGTTACCTTTGTTATTACACATGTTATCATGGGTGTGCCATTTTCGGAGCAGAGGCCATAAAACACCCTCAGTGTGTAACTTTCACACATACAAAATGCAATCTTTTATTTACCATTTGGGTCCTCTAACCAATATACAATAACTTGTTTCTATAGCCAAACTCTAATAAACCTGTCACTTCATTACTCTTACTCTTGAAGCTGACATATTTATCTGTGGAACGCCCATAGCTTGAGTAGACCACACATTCTTACATGCATGTGTGCATATGAATTCTTTCACAACAATACAAGTGCACACACCCATGCAAATACAAGCATTGCAAACCAAAAGAAACGGTTCTCAACGCGGTCATTGTAAAAAGGGATATCAATTCTCTATAAATGAAATATGTTGAAATGCCAGTCTGCTTGCACAGATTGAAACCAATTCTTTTAAGCAGATCGGCACATAACAGTTTTTTCCTTGGAAAATTGGATGTGTTGAGAAGAAAGGGAAGTGAATGATGAAGATAAGCAGATGACGGAAGCAGAAGTATCCCAAGAGAAGTGCCAAGTCACTGTAGGCTTGCGGCTTGAATTTGTGTTACATTTTTTCATCCATTCCCATGTGAATAATTCTGATTTTATTTTCTGTTAACAATGAGAAGCTCTAATGAAAGGACATCTTGCTAGTTGGACGTCAGACTTCCCTTTTATGGTACACTTTGACGCAGGCCTTGGTCGAATGGACCACTGTTGGAGATTTGTCAGAAAAGGAGAACTTTACCTTTTGACATTTTTCAAAAAAAGTATCCCTGCCTTCTCAAAGCCGAAAACATACCACATCCGCAGTATAATCCATGTAGTTTAGTGAAAATTGAAAAAACAACTATACATTTATGTAACCAGTTCCTTTATCATATTATGAGCGATTACCAAATCCATTACATGGTCAGTTAACATTTCCAATGAATCCACACAGCAGAGCGACATGCACTTTCACTTTGCAGTCAAACAGAACAGAGATCGAGGCCGGTTAGTTGCTGCAATTTGAAAGAAAACTATGAAACTACTCACTCCCGGAAAAGCTTTGTGTTCCTAGCTACATATTGTTGGCCAAGGTTTTTGTTTACAGTTTCAAAATGCTAAAAAGTTCTGGGGTTAGATGATGTGCAATGGCTATCTACAAAGATAAAGCAAAGCAGGATAGGGAAAACAAACATATCCTGTGGTGAGTGAAGGGGGAATGTTTGTTTTCAACTAACCCTGGATTAATATCGCTACCCCTTCTGATGTTCTTGCCCCGGTTTCCTCTCAGCTTTCTTCATCTCACTTCCGCTCTCTCATATTCTCTGGTTTTACCTTCCTCCTCTGTTTCTCTTTAAAGCTCTCATTTGTAATCCAGTTTGAGCTGGTTCCCAGTCTGCAATCTGTCATAGATGGAGTACGGTCCTG